GCGCGGGCCTGGGCCCTTTCCGATGGGCCTTGGCACGTCGCGTTCCTCTCGGTCGCAAAGTCGCCATCATCGTCATCACCGCCATCATCAACATCATAATCGTCGTCAGCACCATCACCCCTTTCACTACTACCACTTTCAGCGTGACCATGCGATCGTTATGTCATTCCAGCCCCCCTCGTCAGCAACGCCACCATCATCATCAGCAACAACCCATCCTCCACCTACTGCTCTGTCGTCCCAGTCCTCCTCCCCGCTCCTCCTCCAATCCCCCCACCACTCCTCTCCTTCCTCCTCCCCAGCTCTTGGCTCCAAATGTCGGACGGCCCCCCCCCTGGCGGTGGTCTTTCGCGCCAGGGGGTCCCCAGACGGTCTCGACATCGACCGCCCTGGGGAGTCCAACGCGCACCTCGGACTGGAGCTGGCGTCGGAGGAGGAGCTCCTCCAACGGAGGAGCCCTCCTCCTCCGCCGCCCCTCCTGCCTCCGCGGCCGCGCAGTGATCTGCCGCCGTGGGCGCCATGGCGGCTGGAGCTCCCAGGCTCAGAGCCTGGGCGCTGCCCAGCCTTCTGGCGTTCTGTGCCGTTTCGGGGCGTGCCCGACGTGCGGTTCGCGCCCTGGTGGACGCCAGGGCAGCGGCGCTGCCGCCACGGCCCCCGCAGCGTGCCGATGATCTGGCGCGCCCCCGAGCACGCGGATCATCCGCGCGCGTGCCTTTGGGTGTTGGCTGTCTTTATGTAGTGTGTCTAAGGCATGGGTTGGGGTCTCTCTTGGGGCCCCTTCGCGCCCCTCCTTGCTGCGCCCCCCCGAGTCCAGGTACGCGTGGTACGCGTTCCTGGTCACCGACGGGGTGCTCGCGCCCTCCGACGAGGAGAACAGGCCGCTGGTGCCGCTGCCGACGTTTGCTCGGCGGTGAGCCAGGTCGAACGGTCAAAAAAAAAATGCCCCCTCCTCCTCGCCCCCCACCCCCGCCCTCCTCCTACCTCCTCCGCCTCCCATCTCGTCCTGCTCCTCCTTCTCTCCCTCGCCCCTCCTGTCCCTCCCTATTCACCTCCCGCGCCCTTCCCCTTTAGGTTTCGGGGTGAGCCATTTGTGCCCAAGTTTTTGGGGCGGCTGTCTCCATGCGACAGCATCCCCCGCGCGGGCGCCAGCCCCCCCCTGCGAGGGCGACCTGGCTCAACAGTTTATAGATCTCGTTGAGCTCCACGGAGCCAAGGGGGCCTTCGAGTTGGGCCGGTACGACCACCTCGCGAAAGACAAAGCAGTCCACGCCCCCTCGCTGTGCAAGAACGCAGCGCTGGTAGATGGGGCCAAATTATCGCGTTCGAGATGCCCCCCACCCCCCCCCTCCCGCCACCCACCCGCAAACGCGTCGCGATCTCCCCCTTTCGCCCCCCCCCCCCCCCCTTCCCCCGTCGCGGGGCGAGGGTCCATAGGGAGCTCCGCCGACGGCCGATGGGCGCCGAGCCTGGTGCACCCTTTCAATTCCGTCTTTAGCGTCGGCTAGCGTCGATTAGCGTCTGGGGGCCGATGAGAGAACGCCGATTTAGCGTCAGTTAACGTCGGCTAGCGTCGAGTAGCGTCGACTAGAGTCGATTTAGCGTCGATTCGCAAGAGCCGACAAGATGGCATGGGAGGCCCCCATGAGTTGCCGCCCCTGAAGGCAGCGGCGCCGCCACCCCGAGGGGGAGAAGGAGGGGGGGGAGGAGGTCACAAGGAGCAGTCAGGCAGTGGCAGTCACGAGCGAGAGGCAGGGCACATACCCAGGGCCGTGCCTCCACTCTAGGGCAAGGAGCGCACGCTCATCCTTGGGGGCCACAACACACACTCACTCAACACGCGCACTCTCGCACCCACACACACGCACACACACCACGCAGCCGCAATCCTGTGCAAGGCTCTCCCCCAAGAGAAAGGGCAGTGCACAGCTGCGGAGCTTGCGTCACTGGCGTTCTGCCCAGCCCTCTCCCGACGATGAGGCTGCCGACATTGTTCCCCTCATGATCTCCATCCTCTTGTCTATCTCCATCTTGCGCTTAGCGTAGCTCTCCCGACGATGCGGCTGCCGACATTGTTCCCCTCATGATATCCATCCTCTTGTCTATCTCCATCTTGCGCTTAGCGTAGCCCACCGCAGGAGGGAAGGCGTCCTCTAGCTTCTCGGGCATCTGAGTCTGCGAGGTGTTGACGCTGTCGAAGTCGAGCCACTCTCCCTTTTCTTTCCACCCGTAGAAAGGCCACGTCTCTGGCTTGTTCTTGTCCCAGGCAGGGATGCCTCCCTCTGGAGGCTGCCACCCGTAGAAGATCCAAGTCGTCGGGTCCGACGCGTTCCAAGGCGGGATCGATGGCACGCGCAACCCTCAGCTTGCACTCGATATCCTTCATGTTGTCCGTCTCGTCGGCTTGCTTCTTCATGTATTATTTGACCGATGGCCAGATGCGGGGGGGCTCCGTCTGGTACTTCAACACCCCGTGGGCCTCGATCAGCGTTCCCAGGCCTGCCGTGATTCCTTTGATCTGGTCCTCGATGGTACGAATGTTCTCGGCTACCATGTAGATCTCCTGGGTCGACTTCGCTTTGGCCATGGCGCTGCGGGTCAAGCACGTCGTGAGCTGCAGCTTGGAGGCCTTCAGGGTGTCGGTCTGCGACTCGAGGACCTTGAGCATCTCCGTCGTCACCTCGCGGCTCCTCTGCAGGTTGGTCTCCTGCAGCTCAATCAAGTAGCTTGCGCCCCCAATCTCCTGTTCCTTCGTTTGGCCCCGATACATCGGAGCCGCCTCTGGTACTTCTGGGAGCGCAGGCAATCCCAGCTTGGCGCGAACTCTCGGCAGAAGGGGGGATCCACTCATGCACTGTGAGCCAGCAGATGGGCCATGGAGGATCCCCTTCCCAGTCCCTCAGACCGTCGTTTTGGTCATTTCCGTCGGTGGTAGCAGGAGTCGGAAAAAAGGGGGCAGAAGGGGCCCTAGATCCTGACGGGCCCCGACTGGGTACTTGGGGAGCTCTCAAGAGTAGGCAGAAAGGGGCTCGTTAGTTTAAGCGCCCCTACCGAGGCAGACCGTGGTCGGACGGCATTGTCACATGCCTTCGCGTTGCCCAGCCGTCCAGCTACAATGGGTTCCTGGGTACTGTAATGTCGTGTCCAATGTCAGCAACGTGGAGCCACGCAGTAGGTCACCGTGAACACGGCAATTAGCTGGTCTCCGAGACAGGAGGAGGAGGAGGAGGAGGAGGAGGAGGAGGAAAAAGATGATGGGGGAGGAGGTGAGCGAGGGGGAGGAGTAGGAGGACGAGAAGGACAAGGAGGAGGATATGGAGCAGGGGGGCACTATTTTCACCTGACCCTCCCGAGGTCGAGGTGCTGCTGCGGACGGCCCCCAGCGTCGAGTGCCGCTGGAGCCAGCTCCGCGACGCCTGCACGGAGGTGCTCAAAAAGTGACCACAGGGGCAAATTCTTGACGCTTCGCGGATCCCCACCAACACATCCAGAATTGATTGCCAGTTTTCTCGAGGCCTCTTTGGAGGCCATCTTGGGCCATGGTCGGCTAGTTGGGCCATCTGGAGGCTGCCTGGGGGCATCTTGGAGGTCTGTCGGGGGCTATCTTGAGCCATGATTGGCCATCATAAGCCATTTTGAAACCACATTTGCTTATCTAGTGCTGTCCTTGAGCAGTATTGGGCCGCACAGGGCGGGGTGGATGGGGCCTTTGGGGGAAAGGCTGGGGAGCCTCTTGGGGTGACCTTCCCCAGGCTCAAACGGAGGGGGCCCCTCGATTAGCATCGCCCCCCTCGGATGCCCTCAAGCTGCATCCTGAGGCCCTCTTGGGACGCTCTTGGGCGCCTCTTGGGCGATCTCGGGGCCGTCTTCGGCCTTCTGCCCCCCCCCTTGGGCCCTCGCTTCGTGGCGATAATGCAAAAACAACAATGGTTTTCCTAATGCTTCTGAGGCTTCGTGGCCTCGTGGAGGGCGCCGTGCAGGGCTCGGGGTGCACGTGGGCCCGTACTGGGCTGTCTTGGGGCCTCTTGGGGGTATGCCGGAGGCTATATTGACCCATCTTGAAGTAGCATGGACCATCCTGGAGGTCATCTTGCGACTTTGAAGCCCTCTTGGAACCATATTGGGCCATATTGGACGCCGCGGCGCGTCCGCCTTGTCCGCCCCAGAGCCCCTCTCATTCTCTCAAGTGTCATCCTCATCTTCCGCGCCGCCCCCCCTCGCGATCCCCCATCCTCAATCTTACGTCTGTCTAACGTAAGACGTGCGTAGGATACGCGCGTCTTACATGTGTATATATATATATGTATATACGTACGTGCGTAGGAAGACGGCCTACTCTGAAATGTATATATACATACATGTGTGTATATATATGTGTGTAAATATACATATACACATACACACACACGCTTGTGATCCGCCGGTGGAAAACTCACACGAGTGGATCCCATTCGTGTTCGCCTGTGTTCGCGCACACTCTTTTCCCGCAGAATCAAAATTATCTGTTCGTACTGGTTCGATGAATTGTGATAAATACGGTGGAAATTGCGATGAATATGAGGGAAGCGGCGGAATCATGGGTTTGAATCGGCCTCGGTCCTTCGGCATCGCCTTCGGCTGCCTACCTTAAAAAAGGCACGGACTCCCCGCTGTCTGGCCGTCGAGAACGACCGGTCACGATTCCTCCATTCATCCGCTTCGCCAAATTTGAACTATTCAACTCCAGTAATCCCCATGGCTGATGAGTCTTGTGCCACTGCAGTGCATTTCAGGGATCTACAGGGGGGGGGAGCCCAACTCCTTCCAAAAACTTGAGCGTGCCGTCTCCAAGGCTCTGGTAAGCGGGAGTGGATGGGCAGGGGAGGGGAAGGAGGAGGAAGAGGAGGATGATCGGAAAGAAGAAAAGCAGGACGAGGAACCCGTCCCTGGGACAGAGAGGCGACACAACCGAGAAACACACAACAGGGACAAGATCGCACCGAGCGGGCGCGCACACGGGGAGCCTTGGACTCCCCCTCCTCTCTGGACCTGGCCACCGCCTCCTCGAGCTCGGCCGCCTCTGCAAGGCCGGCAGCGACAGCGGCGGGTGGGGAGGGGATATCTCAAGAGCATGCGGGCAAAAGAAGCCAGGCGGGCCCTCCGAGCGAGTGCTGCGCCTCCCGGTGAGTTCCGCTCTGGGCCGCTGGGCCCGCGAGGAGGAGCCCGGAATGGAAATTCAGGCGGAAAACGGGCATTGAAGCACAGGCGGGACTGGCGTGTGAAACTTTTAGGCGGAACCCAACTCTGGCTACCTGTGCCCAAGTTACCCTGACTGTCTGCTAGAAGAGTCAGCTGATGAAGCAATACCTGAGCTTGATGAGAGCACAGTGTTAACTGCATGAGGCAGGACCTGGACAAGTATCGAGGGAACATGATGTTTGCAACATTGAAGTAAGTGGAACGCTACGAAATATGTGACGGCAAGCTGACAGAGCGTACCTGGGCAACATGTTTTTCAACATGAGACGGTGTCCAGAGTTGCGTGCACTCCCCTAGGAGGAACGTCTAATTTACGGTACTTTCTGTGATCGGCAAAGCGAGCAAACAGACAGAACGGAGCGGTCCTCACGTTGCAAAGCTTGCTGGTGAGATCATTCGCCTCCTCACCCTGCTCGTCCTGTCTTATCGGTCGTCGGCGTACAGGTTCTTAGTCATCTGGCCGCACTTGCAGAGCCTCCCAAACGAACAACGTCGTCACCTTCCTATGTTGTTGCAAAGCCGATGGGTCTCATCGGTCCTGACAAATTGCGTAAATCATTATGTGCAATGGTTTGGATCTATAACCCAACTCAGTGTCCAGAACAGGGGGCGGAATGCAAAGGGTGAGGAAAAAGGATGAGTAAAACAATGAGAACAGATCGGAAGAATGGCTCCCAGGACAACTTGTTTCATCTCTACAGCGCCCTGGGCGTTCTGTTAGCGTTCTCTTATTTGGGCTCTTGGCGGGATGACAATGTTTGAAAGAACGCTACGTGCTGCTTACCTCTTTTAGGGTAGTTGTTGAAGCGAATTCAGACAATCGTCGTGGAACAATTATTCTTAACGTATTGGACTTCTTGTCGAAGACTGCCCTTTGTCATCCCGGCCGTCTGCGCCCTCGCTCTCCCGTTCTCGTCGTAACATCCATAGACGGGGCGGGGGCTGGGAAAGGCTACCGCGCAAAGCCCCGAAAACGGTGGGCGATGATGGTGAAACAAAAAGCTGTGACACCAGTCTGCATCTGGTGTGGAACAGGCCTAGAAGCCCACGGCCCGTCCGCAACGGGCTCCGACTATGGAAAACGACACACCTGAAATCCAAGAAACCGACGTTTTTGCGTTTCGTTTTCATTTTTTGTTGGGACCTGGAAGCGCTCAATCATGTGTTGAGACGCAGGGGCGGGACCTTCATCGCGCGCGCCCACTAAACTACTACCCATCGCCTCGCTGCCAACATACATTGGAATTGTGTCAGAGATCGGGCTTACTCGTGCCGAAGAAAACTATCATCAGGCCTTCTTCTCGAACCCTCCTCGACACGACCTTGGATATGCTAGATTTCCTGCAAGCGATGGAGACGTCCGCTGGACACCCCGGAACAGAACACGCGATCTCCACATGGGGAACAAACAATGGCACAAACACAAAAACTCGGAGGTCCACGCGGATTCCTCGGATCGGCGCTGGACCCGGCGCGGCGCCGGAAGCGCCGCCAGGGGGCTCCAACACCGATCTGGAATCCGCGCGGTCCTCTGAATTTGTATGTTTATGTCACGGGTTGTTGCCCGACTTCAATTGGCATCTCACCCCCAACCTCGACTCAGAGGAGACGTCTGGCACTGTCTCCAGACAGCCCCGATGGCGCCCCGGGCTGCTCGAGCTCGGGCCCGCCTTCTTCTTCGCGTCCTCCAGGTCCTTCTCGAGGTTGCGGATGGTGGAGTCGCGGTGCTCTAGCAGCGTGTCCTTCTCCTCAGGTGCCCGCGGGAAGCGGGGACAAGTCGAAACTGATAGTAAGGGTGCGCGATAAGGATGCAAGGGCCTTGGACGCCAATGCCGAGGGTTTTTCGAGCGGGGCGGGCATCGAGAATGGTAGAAAATGGACCGAAGATGACCGAAGAGGCTAGGATGCAAGGGTACATTTGGGAAGTCGCTCATCCTCTTCGTGCGTCTTGGAAACGTCCTGGGCGTTTCTATAGATTCTACTTTTTCGTTCAACAACACACTTTTTAGTAGTTTCCGGCTCCCAGTTGTTTGTAGTGTTCAGGTCTCCGCGGCGATGCGTTTGTTTTTACACACAGGTATACATGTATATATATATATATATATATATGCATATATAAGTACCATTTCCACCGTCAATTCAAGGGACAATTGTTTTAATGATTGTCATTACTTTGTTAAGAAAAAGCTTAGAACTCCATTTTTGTCGGCTTTTCCAAGTCTGCCTCGCAACGTGCCGTGTTGTATCCGGCATTGACAAGCAACGCACGGTAAGAGCTCGACACGTTCTCTCCGAAAGGCTTCTCTGAGCTCTCATCGTGCGTTGGCTGTCAATCGCTGTCCGATCCCATGCGCGTCAGAGCTGGAGACATCGTCGGTGTCATAACGGTGGCGTCGGCGTCGCAGTGGCGGCCTCAGCGGCGGCGGCGACATCCTTAATGTTTCCGCCTCCCCTGGGTCAAGGGTGAACATTGCCTGGTTGAGATCGTTTGCTATACGTTTCCCATTCGTTTTCAATGCGTTTCCAACCTCCCATTCCGGTGAGTCGGACAGCGACTGACAGGTAACGCACGATAAGAGCTCGACACTCTCTCCGAACAGCTTCTCTGTTGCACCTCCTGCCCGCTACCTTCTATGCTGGCTGGTGCTGCTACTGCCTGATGCTACTGCCTGCTGTTACTGCTCGCTGCTGCTGATGCCTGGTGCGCCGCCCGCCCCGCATTCATTATCATCAGCACTCTCGTTTCATTTCATTATCATCGCATCATTGTTCACCAAACCGCTTTGTTGTATAATTTCCAGGGGGCCGTCTCCTCACTGCGTCCGGCGTGCGCCAACTCGCTTCAACTAGTTTCAAACTGATCGCGCGGAAACTGTTTCGATAGTTTCCAGGGTCCGCTTTCAATCGTTTCCAGGTGCCCGATGTTGGCTCACAAGACACAAAAGCTGGAAACTATAAAGAAACGCCCAGGGCGTTTCCAAGACACACTAAGCTCATCCTTACTATCGGTTTCGACTGTAGGCGTACCCATCGGTCGGAAGGAGTGGGTGGATTCATGGAGTAGGATGGCGTCGAGAGTAGATAGGGCTTCAGCCCGCCCCCCGAAGAGGAGGAAAGAGGGACAACCGTTCGACCCTGAAGTAGGAAGGCGCCGAAAGTATATTGGGATCGACACATCCAAACTTACCTGCTTCAAACGACCAGCGTGTACGTTTCCAAGCGGTAATTACATTGATTGGCGCTGAGCGAGTGCAAGGGACGAGACAGTGCAAGAATTAGTCTTGTGAGCGTTTTCTTATTAGGCGTTTCGACATTGGGAGGAAGGGGGCGAAGGGGGGTCTCTGGCTCCAGACCTCTGCTTAGTGCGACTGTTTGCAGCAGTGCGTCCTCTGGGGGAGACTCCACCTGCCCTAAACAGGCGGCAAAATTTGCCACGATCTACTCAAAGGGGGGGGTGGGAGAGGGGGAGACGAGGGCCCGCGCCGACCGGCAAAACAAACAATAAAAGAGCACTAACCTTTTTCTTTAATCAGGCTCTGCCTCAAGTTAATGTTTGTTCATAAAAAATGCCCGTGGGTGCGGGGTCCTTCGTCAGAGGCGTTGCTCGGGTTGCTCGGAATTGCCCTCGCTTGCACGGGGTTGGGTTGCCAGTACAATGCCAAGCAATGCTAAGCAATGCCAAGCAACACCAAGAATAGCAAAACAACGCCAAGCACTGCAAACCAGCGACAAGCGACGCCAGGCAATGAAAAGTAACGCCAGGCACTGCCAAGCAACAATGCCAAGCGACGCAAAGCAATGCCAACAATTTGACGCAATGCCAAGCAGCGTCAAGCAATGCCGAACAATACGAAGCAATGCCAAGCAAACCGACGGAATGCCAGGAATTGGATACCAATATCAAGCAAACACTCCAAGTAATGCCAAGCATCTAAAAGCAATACCAGGACATGCAAAACACTGCAAATCAACGACCAGCAGTGCGTTGCATTGAATTGCTTTGCGCTACCAAGGTAGTGCCAATTAAGGTATCGCCGGGCTCATGGTCCCCCAACCAACGGCCGCGGAATTACACCACAATCTCAATTACTAGCATCTCAATATGAATCCGAAGAGCACCATGCAATTCAAACATGCCACTCCAATCCATTTGACACCAATCAACCCGCATCATGAAGAATGACCTGAGAAACACACCGAAGCAAATTATGTTCCGTGTATCCCCTAGGACCCAAGCAGCCAACAGCATCCCGTGAATGAATCTCATCAAAATATGGACACTGGGGCCAACACCGAAAAATGGACACCATCAGAGACCAGAAAAGCCACTGATGCATAATTGCCTGGCCGACGTATGACAACCATCGCCTCGCGGCACGCGGACTGTTCTTGGTCGGAATACCAGAAGTCTGAAGGTATGGACAGTCGTCGGCGAGTGTTTCACGCAAGCGCAACTTCAAACTGATGGGAACACACGCGCACAAGCATAATCATGCACGCGCGTACATGCAGATATTCGCGCACGCACACAAGTTCTACACGGAATCGCATTTAAACACGCGCGCGCATCAGCACACGCACATGCCCACATATATGCACGACGCATACTCGCGCGCATTGACACTGGGCTGCAAGGACACAGACACACGCAAGATAACGCACGCGCGACTGTATTCCCACAGGAGGTTCACCGGATCAGATCTGCAAAGCCTGGGCCCCCCTCTCCGCCTGTTCCCTCCCGTGGAGCTCGGACGAGGGGTCCTGGCGGGTTCGAACGTCCAGGATTGAGCCAGACCATGCCTCCATCATGCATGCCTGGAGCCCCAGCACAGCCACAGGACGGCGAATAGCCCCGAGAGGCAAGCATCATTCAGAAACCAAGCGTTGTTATTGAGTTCAGCCGGCTCGACTGCTCGTTTCCAATTGGCTTCTGGGCCCTGGGAGGGTCCATAAGCCATCCCGTTGGCGTCCCAGGAGAGCCTCGACATGGCTACAATGAAATGTCATTCGGCCCCGAAGCCGATCATTGTAAGGGTGCTGCTCTAGTGGAGCCTAGCGTCAGTTTGACTCGTTTCCCCCCTTCTTGGTTTCATAGTGAATGCCCGTCTCGCGAAGACCTGCCTGGAAATATGTTCTGGCTGGGCTGTCATCGCACGAAACGTCGAAATGATGTTTCCAGATCCCTGCGTCTTGTGCCCCTTCTCCTTACCCCTCCGCACAGAGTAATCATCGTCCCCTCAGCCTCTCCTCAGTCCTCCTTCGATTCTCCCACCCCGTCCTCTCCCGCCTCGACATGATGTTATTCTCCTCCTACCCCGTCCTCTCCCGCCTCGACATGATGTTCTTCTCCTCCTACGCCTCCTCCAATATGGATTCTTCATTGGTCCTCTACCCTGTGGTTGGGCCCTCGTTTGAAATAAAGCAGTGTTGGTCTCCGTCCTTCTTCGTCAAACCTCATCCCATCCGTATCCCCGTTTCGTCCACCCCCCTTTGTTTGGGCCCTGTCTTTGCATGAAAAATGATTGGTCTCGGTCATGAATTATTCCTCCTCCTCCTCCTCCCGCATCCTCCTACCTCCCGCTTTAGTCATCTTGATTGCGCCCTCCTTCGAGCAATGCTGCTCCCTCCTCCTCTTCTCTTGGTTGTTCACTGACTGTCTGCGTTTGCCTGCTGTGAGCAACGCTACTGTCGCAACTTGCGTAGGCCCAAGACGGTCCATCGGAGCGCGGCCATACGCGCACCCACACGGGACCTCGCGCCCCACCTTGGGAACCCAGGGAACGCGACGTCCCGTGTGGACACTTGGGAAGCCCAACGGATCCTTGTCACACGCGCATCCAAACAGGACCTCGCGCGCCACCGCGCCACTGCCATGGGCTCCTAGGAGGCGCAGCGGAGCGCGGTTAGGCGCGCACCTGGGCGGAACTTCGCGCTCAGGACCTCGCAGCCCGTGGTTGCGGCCACCTGCGCCACTGTCGCCCCTGTGGTGGGCCTCTGGGAGGCCAAACGGGGGGCGGTCATATACGCGCACTCTCCCAAACAGGGAATCCGTTCTCCGCCACGTTCGTGGGCTCCTGGTCGGCACAGCGGAGCGCTGTCTTACGCGCAACGGAGCGGGAACTCGCGCTGCCAAGGTGCTGCCACCTGCACAACTGCCGCCATGCTCGTGAGCTCCTGGAACGCCAACCCGAGCGACACGATACGCACACGCGGGCGGGCGCTCGCGCTGCCAAGGTGTGCCACCTGCGCAACTGCCGAAACACGGGAACTCGCGCTCCACGTGTGCTGCCGCGTGCGCAACTGCCGCCACTGGCGTACGCTGCCGGGAAGCCCAGCGGAGCAACGTCATACGCGCACCCGCGCACCCAGGCGTGTTCTCGCGCTGCCCAGATGCTCTCACGTGCGCGACTGTCGCCACGTGCGTGGGCTCCTTGGGAGGGCGCCCCAGCGGAGCGCGGTCAGCGGAGCGCGGTCACACGCAAACCGACATGGAACGTCGCGTTCACTGGGTGCTGCCATCTTCGCAACTGTCGCCGCTTGCGTGAGTCGTTCGATGGGATCCCGCCCTGCCCAGGCGCTGCCCAATGCTGAACTGTTACCGCTTTCGTGAGCCCCTGGGATGCCCCGTGGAGCGACGTCATACGCACACCTAAATAGGACCTCGCCCTGCCTGGGTGCTGCCACGTGAGCAAATGTCGCCAAGTTCGTGATCCGTGGGAGGTCCAGCGGGGATGTGTCCGACGCAGAGCCAAGTGAGACCTCGCCCTGCCTAGATCCTGCCAGGTGCGCACATGTCGTCATGTTTTGCGAGCCTCTGGGAGGCCCAGTGGAACGCCGTCCAACGCACACCCCCTGGATGTTGTCACCTGGGCATCTGTCGACTTTAGTGGGCTCGTGGGAACTCCAATTGGAAGCTCGCCCTCCCCGGGTGCTCCCAATTCGTGAACACCTGGGAGCTGCCTCAGGCGGGCACGCCGCTGGGCAATTCGATCTTCGAACGCCGAGTGGATTGTCCAAGGCGGTCTACACCCCCAAGAGAGCCACGAGAGGCCTCCAAACTAGCCCCAAGAGAAGGGACACGAAGTGACACATTTGGAGCTTTTTACTCAACATGGCCTCCGAGACCGCCAGGAGGTCTCCGATCCGCCCCAAGCGACCCTGAATTGACCTGAGAGACCCCCACTACGCACCAAAGATACCTCCGAGAGTCCCCCCCCCTGGGGAACCCCAAGATGCATCTAAGAGTCTTCTGGTCCACACTCCAGGCACGGTGGCGGCTTGGGCAGAGGACCGACCTTTTTGTTTTGTACGGACGCCTTGTTGTGAACGTTGCAGGATGCGTGGCAACGGGGTGCAGCGCAGACCGTCTGCCAAAGACCGGTTTTCTGCTCTCGCCAACGCGCCGCGCATACTTGTGGTGAAACAGAACTCCCCGGCTGAGCGCAGCGCACGATTTCGCTCGCCAAATCGTCAACAGCGGGATCGCGCGCGTGCAGGCGGCATGTCGCTCTCGCCCAAGGACCATGCAGATTCTGTCTGAAAGTGGCGCCCTGCTGAAACGCGAACCACGTTTTCCGTTCGTCAATTTGTCGGCAGCGTGGTCGCTATAGTCGCTCTCGGCCAAGCGCCGCGCAGATTTCGCCCGAAAGTGGCGCTCCCGTTCGAGCGCGAACTACATCTTTCGCTCGCCGATGCGTCGGCAGCGGGGGCGTGTGAGAACGGGCGAAATGTCGCTCTCGTCTAGGCGCCGCGCAAGAGTTCGCAAGACATTGGCGCCTGCTTCGGCGGGTCGCTGTTGCCTCGCTCGCCCCATCGGAGCGGAAGCGAAGCCATGCGCGACCGGGCTCGAAATGCCGCTCTCGATGCCGCTCTCGCCCAAGCGCCGCGCAGTTGTCGCCCAGACAAGGCGCTTCCGCTTGGGCGCGGCGGATGTGTTGCCCCTGCCAGTCCTATCGTGAACTCGGCCGCGCGCGGGTGTGCTAAATGGCAAGTCTGTGCCGTACCGGCGTCTGACACCGCAGTGATCGTTCAGCCTTAAACGATCGGCCGTTTCTGAAAGGCCAAATCGGTCAAGATTGACCGATTCTGGGTCGCCGGCGTCGAGCTCAACGTTGAACGCCGGCGGCGGAGTCGCCGCCGGTCGGCACGACACGGACCCACCCTAGGTGCTGCGCGGGGACCTCCGAGGGGGTGCCGCTCCTGCCCTTGCGCGGCTCATGTTCTCCCCTCGCCGCGTCGTCGTCGGCGGGGCGGGGCGCGCGAGCACCTTCCGCTGGCCAGGCGGCAGAGCGTGCGCGAGGCCGAGGTGTCCAGGTGTGCCAGCACTGGCTCCCGTAGTATGGGGCGGAGGGGAGCGAGCGGGGACCTCGGGTTCGGTCAGGCTGGCTGGATCCGCACCCTCCACCTGATCCTTTCTGCCAACTCCTCCCTGCCGCACCCTTAGACGTGTCGGTAGTGCGGACTGGGCGTTTCGCCAGAGACTTCATCGCCATTCATGATCCTGAAGCTTGGAATCTGGACCCATGTTTGAGAGGGGTGAAGGGCAGTTTGTTTTTTTGACGCGGCTCTCGCCTTAGCGCCACACATTCGTCTTACCTGTTCGCAACACTTCCACCGTTGGAGGGCGGATCGTTTTCATAATGTGGCTCTCGCCGCGACGCCGCGCACATTCGCCTCAACAGCTTACAGCAGCTTCCATGATGCAACATGTGGTTCGCGACTTAACGCCACGAACAATCGGCTCAATGATGTTCAACGGCCTCACTGATGGATTGCGGGCCGTTTTCAAAATGTGGCTCTCGCCTTTGCGCCGCGGATATTCGTATGAAAAGTTCGCAGCAGGTCCAAGGATTCGCATGGCTGAAGTCCCAGGAACGATGCCCTTGCGCGACTTAGGATTGCGAGGACGCAACACTCAGGCTGATTCGGGGGCTGTCTCAGGAAAGGCGTCCTGGTGCGATTCTGCACAGTCTAGGCACAACAATCACCCTGATTCGCGGCTTTAAGGTGCCGGGCGTGATGTTCTCGCACGATTGAAGTTTCTGCGGTACTTCTCTTCCGAAGGGCCATTTCCCACTATGAATACAGGTTTTTGCAAGGGCCTGCGAAGATGGAACTTGGAGGGATGGTTTACTGCAACATTGCTGGTGCGTCTTGGGTTCACAATTGTCTTCCTCCTCCACCTCCTCCTCCTTCTCCCCTCCTCCCTCTTCCACTCCTCCTCCCCCCCCCTTCCTCGTGATCCTCCTCATGCCTCCCCCTCTCCCCGGTCGCGCGCAGGCGCCCCCGCGCGCGCCTGGGAGCGAGCGTGGGCGGAGGAGGGCGCGGGAGCGCGCAGCGAGGCAGCGAGGAGGAGGGGGTCGGAGGGGGGCGGCCAGCCCCCGCCCGCCTCTGCTGCTGCTCCCCCTTTCGTAGGAGGGCACAACCTATACACGCGCGCCCCCCCCACACACACACACACACACACACACACACACACACACACACACACACACACACACACACACACACACACACACACACACACACACACACACACACACACACACACACACACACACACACACACACACACACACACACACACACACACACACACACACACACACACACACACACACACACACACACACACACACACACACACACACACACACACACACACACACACAGACACACACACACACACTCACACACACACTTTGGCGTCGTGGCCCCGCGAGCGGCGACGGGGCGTAGAAAGTCCCGAAGCGCGCGCGTCTACGCCCGGCCGAGCACTCCGAGGCACACACACACACACCGATCCTGGCCAGGCTCATCCTGAGCCCAAGATTCGAGTAGGAGATCGATGACGTAATTGATTTGCCGAGACGTTGACGTGCTCCTCGACTCTACGAAAGAATACGCATAATGCTCCGTAAATCCACGAATCGGTTCAACGAAAATTTTAATTTTGGTGTACATGAATTCTGCAGTCGATCTCCTACTCGGAGTATCGGTGTATACGCCCTCCTGGCCTGGGCAGGAAGGCACATGCACAGATCCTGAGCCCAGGATCAGCCTGGTCATAGGTGTGTAGCTTGTGCCCCCCAACTTCCACCCCGTCCTCGAGCTGGCTCTGCAGCACCCTCTCGCCGCTCCGCGCCGACGCCTCCTTCGCCTCACGCGGCGTGCGCGCTGGTGTCTGAGTGGGGCTTAGGGGGCCCTCCTCCTCCCCCCTTCCTTCTCCTCCTCCTCCTCCTCCTCCTCCTCTTCCTCCCCCTCCTCCTCCTCCTCCTCCTCCTCCTCCTCCTCTTCCTCCATCTTCCTACTCGCTCCCCGCTCCACGCTCCTCGCATATCATCTTGACACTCCTCCCTCCTCGCTCCTCGTCTGCCTCTTCCTCCTCGTCCTTCTCTTTCTCGTCCTCCTCCTCGTCCGCCGCCCTCACCGCTTCTTCTCCTCCTCCTCTTCCTCCTCCTCCTCCTCCTCCTCCTCCTCCTCTTCCTCCTCCTCCTCTCCCTCCTCCTCATCCTCCTCAGTTCATTCCTCATCGTCCTCCTCCGCCCTCCTCACCCATTAGTCCTCACCTCCCTCCACGGAAACGATCCCACGAACTCAGGAGTAGAAAGAATCGGCGGCGGTGTCGGAACTGCCTCGAGGGTCTGCTCGAACCGGTCCTGCTCCTGCCTGAGCGCCATACCCGCGCGTTCCAGCTCGTTCTTCGCCTCCTCGAGATCCCTCTTGAGCCGGTCGCCCTGTCGGGAGGCATACAGGCAGGGGGGAAGGGGGCGATAAGACAGGAGGATGTGGTCTTGCGAGTGGGGGGCGAAGAGGGGTGAGGGGATGGAGGAGCAGAGGGGGAAGGAGCGACAGGGCCCATTCGTGGGCAGCATACTTAGAAATGACGAGGTTTCTGAGAGAGGTCCTGAATCTGAAAACGCATTGATATCAGTGCTTTCTTTTGGGGGCGGATCGGGGAGAGCACGGATGTTTTGCACGGATGTTTTCATACATGTGAGCACCATTATCGACGAACACGATGAATTACGGCCTACTGCTCATGACATTCACTGGCCTATGGCAACGGGCCGCGAGAAGTGGTGCTCGGCCGCTATCCGCATCCTCGCTACCCCCATTGGGGGCAGGTGGTTCGGGGCACCATGCCATCTCTCGCCCAATGGCCTTCTTGCCATCGCTCGGACGTCCGTTCTCGAACCCCACACTCACACCCCACACTCTACGCCCACACCCGCACCTCCTACACACACACACCACACTCTACGCCCACAGCCTACGCACACACTCGCACCCCACACTCACACCCCACACCAAACCCCGAGTTGATTTACCGACTTGATTAGACGAGTTGATTTCCAGAGTTGCTTTACAGAGTTGGTTTACCGAGTTGATTTACAGAATTGATTTGCCGACTTGACTTCCCGAGTTGATTCGCCGAGTTGGTTCCCCAAGGGGTTTACCGACTTACCGAATTGATTTACAGAGTTGGTTTGCCGAGTTGATTTGCAGAATTTATTTACGGAGTTGATTTACAGAATTGATTTGCCGAGTTGATTTCCCCAATTGATGTGTGGAGTTGGCTTGCACGGGACGCTGAGATGGCGAGTTGAATTGGCGTTGACTTCTTGGGCTTTGACTTACCATTCCAACTGCGATGTGCGAGTTGGTTCCCCGAGTTGATTTCCCGAATTGGTTTCCCAGGTTGATTTCCCGAGTTGGTCTGCCGAGTTGATTTCCCGAGTTGATGTGCCGAGTTGATTTATAGAGTTGATTTAGAGAGTTGATGTCGCGGGGCGGCCTGCCGAGTTGAGTTCGCAAGTTGATGTGCCAAGTTGTTTTGCCGCCTTGGTTTCGCGATTGGAGGTGCTGAATGGATTTCGCGAGTTGGTTGTCCGAGCTGATTCCTCGAATGCGAAGTGCGAATTGACCGTGTGGTGGGCGTCCCCGACTTAGTGCGCCGAGTTGACCCGCGTCTCGCGTTCGTGTCGTGTGGGCGCACAGCGTGGGGGGTGAGTGTGGGCGCGAGTGCTGGGTGCGAGTATGAAGTGCGAGTGTGGGCGCACTGTGCGGGGGGCGATTGCGGGGGCGAGTGCGGGGTGCGAGTGCGAAGTGCGAGTATGCAGTGCGAGTTTGGGCGCCGAGTCTGAGGGGCGGCCGTGCGCCCCGAAATGGCTGCTAGCTAGAGAAGCACGATCGCTGCCCCACAGACATAATAGTACGGGAACTGCGGAAACGCAAAAATCATTCATTGCCGTTAGGTATTCAACGATTTGGGACCCTCGAAGACTTCCTGGGTTCTTGTCTGGGGCCTTCACTGTGGTATGTTGTGCAAGAACAGACAGAAGGGCGAACTTGGGAAAAAACGGAATGGTGGGATTTCCTTTTTTTCGAGTTGCAGTGCCTGGGCTGTGGGTTAGTTGTTTTCTGCATGCAGCCCACGGTCTGGTGGGATGCCTCCCGGGGTCTTCGTGCAAAACTAAGCAGGGGGTGAGTTTGAAGAAAAGGGATTCTAACATTCCACTGCTTCACATCATGAGATCATGGGATCTCGATTTCTACAATTGTTTCAGGGGCAGCCAAGAGGACACGAAGACGATCCAAGAGATTGCCAAGACAGCGCCAGAGAGTTCAACAGCATTCCCGAAACATTTGTGCATGTGACCCCGACGTCTTGATGGGGCTCGAGGAAAAGGATGGGGAGTAGGAGTCCCAACTTGAAAAAAAAACGAATCTCTGGAATCTCAAATTTTCTCCAAATCCCTCGGTCTTGGAGCGTTGGAAGCGGGAAAACGTGAGAAGGCGAAACAAGTCTACGTAAACCACTGACAATCAACGTTTTTATCCTCTTCGGGCTCTCTCGGGACGGCTCTCGAAGCTCTCTTGGGCTGTTTTGGGGGCATCGTCGGAACTATTTTTGGGGCCCATCAGGGGTCTGGGGTGTGTTGGGGGCCTCTGGGGGGTCCCGGAGTCCTCTCGGAGGTCTCTGGAAGCCTCCTGCTCCCGCTCGTGGGCTGATCTTAGGCCTGTTCTGAGGTGGTCTGCAGCTGTCCTGGGCGCCTCTTCGGCAGTCTTGGAACCGTCTTGGCGCGTCTTGGGGCCGTCTTGGGCGGTCTCGGGGCGCCTTCGGAGCGTTGGAAGCATGAAATGGTGAGAAGGCCAACAGCCCTGAAAAGGAAACATGGAAATTCACAATTTTAGGTTCTCTGGGCGCTCTCGGGATCCCTCTCGGAGCTCTCTGGAGGTGCTTTGGAAGCCTCCTGGGAGCCTGGAGAGCCGCCAGAAAGCTATCCTGGGTTGCTTGGGAGCGTCTTGGGCCTTTCTTTGACGTTCTGGGGGCTTCGTGGGGTCGTCTTGGGCTGTCTTTAGGCGTTTGGGGGGCTCCTCGGGAGGTCGGGAAATGCGGTACTGCGAGCGTTCCGCAGATGTTCCGGGAAGGTGTGTGACCCCTGGGAGGAGGGGGCGCGCATTTGTTGAATTCGAAAAACGAACAAAAAACAAATCTCTGAAAGACCCTTTTTCGAACTCCTGGTTTTGGAGCGTTGGAAGCCAGAAACCGAGAGAAGGCGAAACAAGTCTACATAGACCACTGACAATCAACGTTTTTACCCTCTTCGGGCTCTCTCGGGACGGCTCTCGGAGCTCTCTTGGGCTGTTTTGGGGACATCGTCGGAACTATTTGGGGGACCTCTCAAGGGTCTGGGGTGTGTTGGAGGCCTCTGGAGGGTCCCGGAGTCCTCTCGGAGGTCTCTGGCGGCCTCCTGCTCCCGCTCTTGGGCTCATCTTGGGCCTGTTCTGGGGTGGTCTGAAGCTGTCCTGGGCGCCTCTTCGGCAGTCTTGGAACCGTCTTGGCGCGTCTTGGGGCCGTCTTGGGCGGTCTCGGGGCGTGTTTGGAGCGTTGGAAGCATGAAATGGTGAGAAGGCCAACAACCCTGAAACAAAATTTGAAAATTCGCGATTTTAGGTTCTGGGCACTCTCGGGAAGCCTCGGAACTCTCTTCAGGTCTCTTGGAGGCCACCTGGGAGCCTGGGAGGAGGGGGCGCGCATTTGCTGAATTTGAAAAACGAACAAAACAAGAATCTCTCAAAATCCCTTTTTCGAATTCCTCGGTCTTGGAGCGTCGGAAGCCAGAAACCGAGAGAAGGCGAAACAAGTCGACATAAACCACTGACAACCAACGTTTTTACCCTCTTCGGGCTCTCTCGGGACGGCTCTCGAAGCTCTCTTGGGCTGTTTTGGGGACATCGTCGGAGCTATTTGGGGGACTTCTCAAGGGTCTGGGGTGTGTTGGGGGCCTCTGGAGGGTCCCGGAGTCCTCTCGGAGGTCTCTGGCGGCCTCCTGCTCCCGCTCTTAGGCTCATCTTGGGCCTGTTCTGGGGTGGTCTGCAGCTGTCCTGGTCGCCTCTTCGGCAATCTTGCGACCGTCTTGGCGCGTCTTGGGGCCGTCTTGGAGGCCTCTTGGGTGGTCTGGGGACCTCTTCGGCCGTCTTGGAGCGTTGGAAGCATGACATGGTGAGAAGGCCAACAACCCTGAAAAAAAACTTGGAAATTCACGATTTTAGGTTCTCCGGGCGCTCTCGAGAGGCCTCTCGGAGCTCTCTTCAGGTCTCTTGGAGGCTGCCTGGGAGCCCGGAGAGCCGCCCGAAAGCTATCCTGGGCTGCTTGGGAGCGTCTTTGGCAGTTCTTTTACGTTATGGCAGCTTCTTGTGGTTGTCTTGGGCTGTCTTTGGGGATTGTGGGGGCTCCCCGGGAGGCCCAGAGGCGCCGTACCAGGAGCGTACACGAGATGTGAGCGAGGTGGAGGACGCCCCAGGAGGGGGCCTGGCGTCTGTGCTTACATTATAGGTAGTCTCAAGCTGACGTAAGATGCTCGACGATGGTCCAGATCGTCTGGCGCTGGCCTTGCCGAGCAGAATGCACACGTCCAAGAGATGCCAAGCCTTGTTTCCCCCCATCCCTCCCCTCCCAGGCATCGGGGGGGAGGGACAGAGGGGTTACAGGGGTCGTCTCGGGCCTGGATGGCTACAAAGATGGCTCAACCCGACCCGCGATGGCATCCAAGATGGCGCAAGATTCAAGATAGCCGCGTCGGACATACCACCAAAGTGCCCCAAGACGGCATCAAAAACACCCCAATGGCCCCGAGAGACCCCGCTGGAAACCCCAATAATCTAAACACGGCTTAGGGAGAATAAACCGACGATTGTTGCCGTCACGTCTTGTCGCTTTTGACGAGTCGCTGCTGAAGAATCAGAACGGCCTCAAGACGACCCAAGAAAACCCAAAGAGGAGATCATACCGGGGTCCGACTTGCCCCCCCTCCCCCTGCTCCCCCACCTTCTCCCCCCCCAAGATCGCCTTAAGACCCCGCGAAAAAGCCCAAGACGGCAGCAATACCACCTGCCAAAAAGGGCGTCAAACAAACTGCTACAAAGAAAACTCCAAAATGGCTCCAAGACGCCTCCAGGCTCCAACAGCAAGAAATCCGCGAAGGCCTATCCCTCCTGCTCGTTCGCCCCCTTTATCCGAAGTCTCCCTTCTTTTTATGTTTCTCCTCCGCCTCCTCCTCACCCTCTTCCTCCTCGTCCTGATACCGCTCTCCTTCCTCTCAAGATGGCTCCATGAGACTTCTACGAGGCTCGTAGAACAACTCGCCTGGGCATCGGTTCTACATACGCCAAACGCCAAACATTGGGAACTCTGATGTCATCGCTCCCTTGATGCCTCCCGTTCCGTGACCTGTCGTGTCCCCTGTTTTGCGATCTACTTGGAGAGAGGAGTCGCCATCATCACCGTCACATTCGCGGTCTCTATCCGCATGGGGCCACGTCGTCGTAGACGTGGTCCGTAACCTCATTCCATAAGGACGTCACCGCGCTGCACGAAAATGCCTTCAGCGAGCACCACCAGCAATAGTTCGGAGGCGCCGCCAGGGGGGCCCAGCGCTGATCCAATAAATCCTGGGTAGGGCAGGCGGCCGCTCGCGCTGGCCCAGTCCCAACTGAGGGGGCGGCAGAACAACTGCCAAGGTAAGTCTGACAAACGAATGGGCACCGAGTGCACCCAGGGCGCTGTCGCCAGCGCGGCGGGGACAACGGCTCGAGCAAAAACCACACGGGAAGGACGACCATGGATGGAGGCACAACCAAACACATTAACATACACGTTCGTATGCCCGCACGGACTTCTTGGGTCGGCGCTGGACCATCCTTCCTGGCGCGCGGAGGGGCGGCGCCAGAGGCGCCGCCAGGGGAAGCCCGCGCCGATACAGGAGATCCGCGCGGCCCTCCGTGGACGGCACTGTCCGTTCACATTGTTCTTGGCATTTCTGTGCCTCCTGACTCTTCTTCCTCTTCCTCCTCCTGGGTCAGCTGTCGAACCGTGGAGCCCCCTTCCCATCAGTTGGGAAGCTGGCGCTTTTCGAACATTGTGCTTGGCCACCCATCGTTCTTGATGTACCGTGCATCGTTAGACGCAATTGGAGAGGACTTTGGAACATCGACATTTGCTTCACCGAATGGAGGGAGGGGGGGCCTGCGTGCGCCGGCACCTCCTGCGGCCCCACGAAACGATGGGGAAACGTCCACGCATCACTGAATGCACTTAGCGGGGAGGGGGCACTCCCCTACTACAGTCACCGCGCTGCCATGAGGAACGCTGGATAAGGAACGAATAAGCTTTTCTGACCGCGGCGAGCCTCGGCCAAGTGTAGGGCCCCCGACGTAGATCTCAGGAAGGACCAGAAAACCAGCTCGCCTCCAGAGCCAAACCTGGTCCTGGTTTCAGCGTCTTCACTGTATTCCTCTCCGCGAGGGCGTACTGGCCTCCTGCTGGTGGCCCTGGCACTTCTCCTCCATCTCCAGGAGCCGCTGCTGGAGGTCCTGGGCCCGTCGCGCCAGCACACGCGTGGACGTGTCAGGCCACCAGTGGCAGTACACAGTGCAGCGGCAAGTCTTCGAGTGGTGGGGGTGCTTAGTATTCCCGTGAACATCAAACTCAATCATCATGTGATTGAGTGCCCTTTACCTCCCGGACTCGTCAGGAGAAGAACCGGAGGCGACCCCAAAGGGGTCGAGGAAAAGCACCAAGAGCCAGCGGGCGAAGCGCGACAACGAAGCGCCCGATTAGCGCTTGGACCGTGAAGAAGCGCCCGACAATCGCCCGCACACTCGGTAATGGCAACTCGTCCCAGGATGTCCCAGTGGGGTCTGCTTCACGGCTGATCACGTTTGCGTGAGCCGTCCACAGCGTCCTTTGATGACAAACCTGCCTGTGCCTGGCAGAACGAAACCATCAAAGCAGAACACGAACTTGCGTGGTCAACTCAAACGACGGTATCTAAGATTGGAGCTTCAGAAACGAAGAGGACACTTCAGATAACAAGCGGACACCCCATGCTTCAAGCCAGAAGCAAAGCACAACCCTCGCACCTCGAAGGCCAGAAACTGTGAAACACGCACGAGGAGGAAAAGGCGGAGGAAGCGGCGAAGGGAAGGGGGACGGAGGAAGGCGCAGGTGATAGCAGGGGGGGGGCCATAATGATGAACATCGGCAGGAGCAGCAGGTCCAAGAGCACGAGGAACAATGAGACATGAACAAGCAGCAGGCGGAGGAGAGCAGGGACGAGGAGGAGGAAGAGGAGCAGGCGGCGGAAGACGAGGGATGGACGGGGAAGGAGAAGTGAGGGAGAGAAGGAGAGTGGAAGGACACAGGAGGGTTCGAGAGGGGGAGGGACAGGTGGAGCATGGGCCCATGACACGAGAAGGAGGATGAAGGAAGACAAAACAGGAGGAATCGGGGAACACCTGTGAAGACAAGAGACGATGAGGCATAATACCTAGGACGAGGAGGCCCCAAGAGACTTCCAACAGACGCCCAAAAGGTCCCCAAGAGGCCACGACAGGTCCCCCAAAACCAAACAGATGGCCCCCAAGAGCCCTCCAAGCGGCCCTGGTGAGCCGTACCAGGAGACCGTTAGATGCATCCCGAGACTCCTGACACACAGGCCATGCACGGTGGCACGACCCTAGACAAAGTCACTGTTATGGGGGCCTGCGGGATAACGTAAGCCTCTTGAATGATTACTGTTTCCCCCGCAGAGGCCTCCGCCATTCCGCCGCCTGGCTGCATCAATGTCCCTTTCTGGGCCCCAAGACGCCTTCCACATGTCGTCCAAAACAAGTTCGACTTTCAGAACGCTTCCACTACACTGTCCGGGGCACGGTACCTTCATTTCCACCACTTTAGGGCCGAATGTGTTCCCCGGCCCTCAAGAGCGCCTCTTGGCCCCAACTTCGCCTGCAAACTCGAAACTTCAAACATATAGCAAGAAACATTGGCTTTCTGATGATGCTAACATCGCTGGGGGTCGCCTGGACGCCTCTGAAAACTAACTTCGGGCTCTTCTGTTTTTTGTATGCAGATCGTGACTGCGTTTTTGGGCGCGCTGCGGGGTCAATTTTGGGCGATGCTGGGCACAACTTGGACCCCCAAACGGAGCCCAAACCGACTCCGCACTGTCCCGGATTTTAATGGCATTCGGACGGGGTTGCGGCCCAACATGGAGGTGCTCACGCGTGGGCCGTCTAGAAGCTCCCCTTGGCTGCTTCGTGCCCTTCTTGGCCCTCTTTTGGGCCCTTCCAGGGGCCCTCTTCGGCCCTTGTGGGCGCCTATGTTCTGCTACGTCTGGCCTCCTGCATTGGATAAGCACCATGGTGTCAACAGAGTCTGTGTCCATAGCACTGATCTGTTGGTAATGAATACAGGCCGACGGTCAATCGACGAATTCAACATCGATCAGCCACACGGCACACCTAAGTGAGAAATCTGGCGAAGACAAACTACAAACACACACATTTAGGGCCATCTTTCAATACTGTCGGAATAATGTTACTGGGTCTTGGCGCCGTCTGCGTCTTGAACAACTAAGCCGAGGAATGTCAGGAAGACGACGAATGAGGCGGAGGTGACGAACGAAGAGGAATCTGCCACTGTGCCGTAGGCACTGAGTGGAGTGTCCTCAAGTCCCTTCGATCGTGAGATAATGATCTTGAAAAAGGCTCAGACCACATGTGTGCCGGTCGCCCCTGGGCGCTCCCGGGGCTTCTCGCATGACTTTCCTAGAGGCCTCGGGATCTTTGGCGCTCAGGTTTACAGCATGGCCTGATGTGGGCACAAGTCCCGTCCCGGAGCCTTCGTAGGGGCTTCTGCGGCTGCTTGAAGCCCTGGGGGCCGACCCAGGATGCCCAAATCACTGGAACGAGAATGAGTTTGACATCGGATTCTCAAACTCGCTGTTCGGTCTGAAGAGCGTCCACGACGGCCCACAAGGCCCCAAAGATCGCCTCAAGACAGCCCCCGAGGTCGGCAAGATTACCGAATAGGCTTCCAAGATGGCCCTGGGAGGGCCCTGGAGGGGGAACGCTGACTACGAACTGGGATTTCGAGCCCTTGCCTCCACGATGGCCCCCGAGACTGCCAGCAGGCCGCAAAGTGTGATCCTTTCACCGATCCCCATCCCCTCTGGCGTGGCCTTGGCCCCACAGGCCGGCTCATGCCCCCCCCTGGGCGGGGATAATCCCACCAGCCCTCTGGGCGTCGGTGGTTTAACGAGTTTCCTCTTCCACCCCTCCCTCTTCCCCTTCGGGGAGGGGTTTACCCCTCCCCCTTACCCCCTCCCCACTGACCTGGACAGGGGGTTCCGCGGCGCGTTGGAGCGCCCAAGATGGCCCAAGACGGCTCCAAGAGGGCCTCAGGGAGCCCAAGATACCCTCCAAGATGGCTCAAGATAACGCAAGATGCCTCAAGATGGTCCCCATGATGTTCCAAGACGTTCCAAGAACTCTCCAAGACGGTTCCAAGTGCCCACAAGAGCACCATTAGGATGCATCCAAGAGGCCAAAATGCTTCAAAACCCTAGGGAAAATCGATGTTGTTGGTGTTCTCACTTTTTCGCTTGCGATGCACATCCGAGGCGTCAAGATGGCTCCAAGATGGCTCAAGATAGCTCCAAGAAGGGCCCAAGAAAGCCCCATGACGGCGCCAAGAGCGCCGAAGAGCGCTCCAAGAGCGGTCCCAGAGCGGTACAGGAGACGATGTTTGGAGTTCCTGGGGGGGGGTCTAATTAAGGAACCCTACTTCCTTGACCGATGTCCTCCACGATTGCCCCAAGAGCGCCCCAGCAGGGCCTTCAAGGGCGCCCAGACGGGTCCAAGAGGAGCCCAAGCCTCCCAAAATAGCTTCCCAAGAAGTCCCACCAGCCCTCTGGGCGTCGGTGGTTTAGAGCGTTTCCTCTTCCACCCCTCCTTCTTCCCCTTCGGGGAGGGGTTTACCCCTCCCCCTACCCCCTCCCCACTGACCTGGACAGGGGGGGCCGCGATCGGTCAGAGCGTCCAAGATCGACCCCTGGGAGGGCTAAAATTCGACACCCCTCACGAGGATCGTGGCTCCTGAGGGGGGGGCTGAAATTTAGGAACCCCCCTTCGTTGATCGATCTCCTCCAAGATGGCTCCGAGAGACGTCTTGGACCCCCTCTTGGGCCCTGCGCGCGGGCGGGCGGAGCGCCGCCCGCCCGCCCGCAAGGCCCAAGAGCCCACCAAAACGTTCGAAGACACTTCCAATACGCCACCAGGGAGGAGGAAGAGGCGGAGGAGGAGGAGGAGGAGGAGGAGGAGGAGGAGGAGGAGGAGGAGGAGGAGGAGGAGGAGGAGGAGGAGAGGGAGGAGGAGGAGGAGGAGGGAGGAGGAGGAGAAGACGGAGGAGAAGGAGGAAGAGGGGAGGAGAACAGCTGCCGATCATCGGCGCTCTTCGTTCGAGTGCCTGGTGTAGGATGGGCTGGTGGGGATATTTTTTTTACAGCCGCAGGCGGAAGCGCCGGCGGCGGCTGGTCACGGTCGGGCTGCGGCCGTAACAAATTAGCCGGGCGCGCGCGCGGGCCGCGGATCAGGCGGCGGTGCAAGCTGCAGCCCAGGGAGTCTGAGGGGAGACTGGCACCCAGGGAGCAGGAATTACGCTGCCAAAATGGCGCGATGCACACCCCCAGTCAAGGGTCGTGTCCGGTCCGACGACCACAGGGCAGTGGGGATCTTGACTCCGTGCAAGAAGAGTGTCAGAGAGCCCAGGGTGTCTGGCTGGTGGGGATACGCGAAGCGTCAAGAATTTCCTTTTCTCAAGCATCCTACCATGTAGTGCGCAGGAATCGGGAGGCCAACGAGGCCTGCAGGGGGTTCCTAGGAGGCAGTTTTGAGGCCTCTCTGGGGCTATGTTTGGGGCCTCATGGGATTTTTCCTTGGGCCTCTCAGGGGTCTGAGGTTTCTTGGGGGCCTCTGGGCGATCCTGGAAGCCTCTCGGGGGCATCCTGTGGCCTCCTGCTCCCGCTCTCGGGCCCATCTTGGGCCTGTCCTGGGGCCCTCTTGGGCGCCCCTTTAGCAATCTTGAGGCTCTCTGGGGCCGTCTTGGGCTCTCTTGGGGGCCTCTTCGGCCGTCTTGGGACGGTCTTGGGGGCCTCTTCGGCTGTCTCGGAGCGTTGAGAGCACGAAAACGCGAGAACGCCAACCACCTCGAAAACACACATGACAGTGTAACGATGCTACCGGGCTCTCTCGGGACGGCTCTCGGAGCTCTCTTGGGCTGTTTTTGGAGCCTTGAGGGTTTTTGATGTTGGGCTTCTCGGGAATCTAAAACTTGTTGGGGGCCTCTAGGGGGTCCTGGAGGCGTCTCGGGGGCCTCTGGGGGCCGCCTGCTCCCGCCCTCGGGCCTATGTTGAGCGTCCTGGGACGCTCTTGGCCCGTCGTGGGCGCCTCTTGAGTCTTGAGTCTCGAGTCTGGGACCGCCTTGGGCTCTCTTGGGTACCTCTTCGGCCGTCTTGGGGCAGTCTTGGGAG